AAATGGCCGCTCCCAGTCTGGTGATCGTGACGAAAATTATTGTTTTTATTTTTTTACTCATTAACGCAAAATTCATTCACAGGGCTGCTCAGTGGAGCAGTGGGTAGCACTGCTGCCTTGCAGCAAGAAGGTTCTAGGTTCGATTCTTTCTGCATGGAGTTTGCATGTTCTCCCTGAGCATGCGTGGGTTCTCTCCGGGTACTCCGGCTTCCTCCCACAGTCCAAAAACATGATGTTAGGTTAATTGGCTTTTCTAGATTCTCCTTAGATGTGCGTGAATGGTTGTATGTCCTGTTTGTCTCTGTGTTGCCCTGCGATGGACTGGCGACCTGTCCAGGGTGGACCCCGCCTCTCGCCCATTGACAGCTGGCGACCCCAATTGGGACAAGCGCGTCAGATAATGGATGGATGGATAACGCAAAATTCATTAAATCACTGCAAACGTATTAGTTTTAGGTATCATTCCTTGCTGACCGGACTTTTCCTTTAAATTTCGCATCATAATCCAATGGTTTTCCAAGGTTGGGGTGCAACTTAGTTCAACGTTACATCAATTTCAAGTGCCTGCTGGGTAATGAGGGTCTGATCTGTCAGTGAATGAGTAATGTGACCACTCCGAGCTCCCTAACAAAACTAACAAACTAAAATGACCTTTAACTTACCCGTTATATTTCAGTCATGCTTCTTTTAGGAGCACCAAACCTAGAGGCTACAGGTCTAGCCCCCCTAGTGGCTAAAAGGTTAAACAGTGTTGATTTAAGAATTTATCTGTACGTTTTACCATCAGGTTTACCAGTGGCTAAAAGAGGAGTGAGTGTTTGCAGGAAGAAGTAATGTTAAAATATCAGAAAGTACATTTTTGGTTTGGTTACTGACCTGGTGGGACTCCAGAGGAGATAGTAGAGGAGGACAGCTGGCCCTGGCCTTTGGAGGTCATTCCTGCCACTTCGATAGTGTATGTGGTGAGAGCGGTTAGGCCTGTGACCCTGTACTCCAGGGTGACATTCGGCAGATAGTGGGTGACTCTGGTGTTGGTCCGGTTGAACTCCTCCCATGAAATGCGGTAACCTGACATAGCAGCAGAGACGGGTTAAACGACGTCGCATTCCTTGCTCAGAAAACTCTGTAGTGGTTTTACAACCCTCCCCCTCAGCTCGCTGCTGTAGGGAAAGCTAACAGAAATATTAAATTAACTTCATCAAAAATTGAATATAGCAAATTTAATCAGCAAGTGATTATACCTCCTTGCACTCACACATCCTCCGCACAGCCTCGCACACACACTCACCCTCTCAAAGTTAATGTAATTTGCTCCTTGGCCAGCAGCTCTTTTCATGTGATTGCATAAAGCATTAAAGCAGCATTTCTTGCCAAATCAGTAATCTCACATGGCATGTCTGTGTTTGTCTCCTGGGATTATGCGGCACATTAAATATATCTTAGAAAAACACTGAAATACATGTTGTAGATTCTTAAAATATGTAAATAAAACTGTTATTCTTTATCGCTGCTCGTAAAATCGAGTTCTAAAACATCCTACTGAATGAATCTAGGAATTAATTTAACAACATCCCATTCTATTGAACTTTATGCATGTTTTTCTATAATGAAAATTACAACTTCAATATATTTCTTTAGGATTTTGTGTAAAAGACCAATAGAGCAGTCCATGATTGTAAAAGAGAAGAAAAAAATAGATGATTTAATTTATTTTATGAATAATAATCTATGAAGTTTGAGACTTTTTTGTATGGAGCCAGTTTCTCTGCTGGAAAGTTTTTCTCATTCTTCATACAAACTGTCTGTTTAGATTAAAATTCATTTCTTGCTAAAAATCGTTCATATTTTTTAGGTTGATCTGCACTGCAAAAAATTAAAATCTAATTTTTCTTTCTTGAAATAAGTGATTTTTTTTCTTAATTTGAGGAGTTGAGACAATTTGCTAATGGAACAAGACAGTTTACATAAAAAAATAAATAAATAAAAAAAACTACTGTATTGTCGTATTTCAAGTGCATATCATCTAATTATCTTATTTATAAAAAAATAAGATTAAAAAAAGCAGATTATTTTATTTACCTGCTTAAATTAAGCATAAACACATTTAATTAAAGAAATTTTTACTTATTTCTAGATTGTTTTTGCAGTGTGAACAGAGCTCTGCACTGGAAAAACAATCTAAAAATAAGTAAACATTTCTTAAATGAAGCGTATTTAACATTAATTTGAGCAGGAAAATGAGATAGTTTGCCAATAGAATGAGCATTTTACTCTTAAAATAAGAAAATTAGAAAATATGCACTTGAAATAAGACAATGCAATTGTTTTTTCTTATTTTAAGTGGACATTGTCTTGTTCCATTGGCAAAATGTCTCTCTTACCTCCTTAATCCAAGAACAAATGCACTTATTTTAAGAAAAAAATGACTTATCTAGATTTAGATTTTTTCCAGTGTGTGGGATGTTTTGACGGATCTGACGGTATTCCATGACCTTTTCCTGATTCAAACCTTTTCCTCTGAGACCTTCATGTAACAGCTGGATCTGAGTTTACATTGATGGAATCTATTTTGCAATCAAGCACTTTCATTTTGGCCCCCTGGGGCCAAATGATTGAAAAATGCTTGCTAAAGTGTCTGCAGCGGTGAGGATGCTCTATGTGCCCTGGATATTTCAAAAAATCTGTGCACGCCAATGACATCAGGAGTCAAACTCTACATTGGATGAGCCTACTGGATGCAGATTGGTTATATTTGTTGCTTATATTTGTGCATTCAGCAACACTGCAAAATCTATCTAAAAATGAGTAAAAATATCTTAAATTAAGTGTATTAACCCTTAATTTGAGCAGATAAATAAGATGATTTGCCAATGGAGTGAGTATTTTTAAAATAAATTAAATTAAAATAAGGTAATTAGATATTATGCACTTGATATAAGACAATACAATTGTTTTTTTTCTTATTTTAAATGTAAATTGTCTTGTTCCATTGGCAAAGTGTCTCACTTACATCCGTAATTCAAGAAAAAAATGCACTTATTTTAAGAAAAAATTACTTATTTAGATTAAATTTTTTGCAGTGCATTAAAATTTGATAACCTACATTAATATACTGTATACAGCCTAGCAATGGACCTGATGTGCTCGCTTGATGATATACACACACATGCTCATAACGGCCTTAAGAGAGCAAGATTCTTAAGCAAAAAGCCGCCTTTAGTGAACTATTTTGTACGGAAGAAGATTAGGGCCACTGAAAAAAAAATAAGTTAACTGATTTTTAAATTTTATTTCAGTTTAACATGGGAAAAAAGTCAGAATTCTGTTTTTTTTTTTATTGTCAGAATTCAGTCAGAATTCTGAGAAAAAAGTCAGAATTCTGTTTTTTTATTTTTTATTGTCAGAATTCAGTCAGAATTCTGAGATGAAAGTCAGAATTCACAGAATTCACAGAATACACTTAATTAAGGCATTTTTAATAATTTTTGCAGTGTGCAGTGAAATCTTGCTGATGGATCTTGCAAAAATAGCCGAGAAGCACCTGATCAAAGTGTTAATATCTACACTTTTCTACACCTTCTAATCTTGTCCAGTTTAAGGGGAAGCCATATGTGACAAAGTGGTATGAATCATGCAGCGTGAATTCGGATAATGTCGACAATCTGATTAAATCCGGGGGTAACGGTCACTTTCTGGCTAGTTATTTCTAATTTTTGTAAGTAGTGCTGCCTATGAGGCCCAGTTAGACGCACTTCTTCCACAGACAAATTAGCTCGACTTAAAGAAGCAATAATGGCTAGAGACCTTAATACTTCTGTCCGTCACCTCCGACATCATGTGTTCGAGGAGCTATGTGATTAGATTGCAAAGAGTAAATATATATATATATATATTTATATATATTTTTTTATTAATCTTTGTAAGGAAATACGCTGAAACTAAACAGTTTTTTAACGACTATCATCATGTTGTTCATCATGTTGGTATCAAATAACAGATGTTGCAGCTAGATTGTTTTTAAAAGCTTCAGCTATAAATAAAACTGGATGATTATGATCTTTAAAACAGAATAAGTTTAACATTAATTGCTCTTCAGTTTAAGATAAAAGGGAATCTCTTTTTGTAATTTCCTGCACGATGCTTCTCAGGTTGATGTTAGAAACCTGCAACTTTTATTGTAAAAAAAATGAAAATCTAAGTAAGTCCATTTTTCTTAAAATAAGTGCACTTTTCTTGAATTAAGCAGACAAGTGCACTGGAAAAAAATTTAATCTAAAGAAGTCATTTTTTCTTAAAATAATAGCTTTTTTTCTTGAATTGAGGATGTAAGTGGGACACTTTGCCAACGGATCGTATTTTAAGGGTAAAAAGGCTCATTCCATTGGCAGATCATCTTATTTTTCTACTCAAATTTTTAAAACATTTTGAATTGTACAGTGAGAAGTTCAGTATTTCTACACACATTTATAATGCAGTAGAGATACTACAACTATTTAAGATTATTCACCACTCTTTCATACTCCCAAAACTTTATCTGTGACTTTCTGAAAACAGACAACTCATACTCTCAGTCCCTTTGGTATTAGTAATGCCTCATAGATTCCTCTATCGACTCAGTGTGGCTTTCACAAAAGATTCTTGTAAAAGTCGTGTTTACTGCAGCTATCCTTTTTGCGGTAGATTTGTTGTGACTGAGCAGAAGAGACGAGAACACTTTTTGTTTTGCAGAAACCTGTTTAGAAATATATTTTCCGACAATCGTCTCAGGGGAGTAAAGGTATGTTTTCATCCTAGCTTTGGAAGTTGTAGGCGTATTGCTCAAACAGAATAAACAACAGATATTACTATGGCTCCCATCTGCTTAAAACAATAAATGAGGTCAAGCTGCCGCAGTTCCGTCTCAGGGCTGGATCTTATTATTGGCCCCATTCTGCAAAACTCTGACAGATATCATGAAATAGTCATTTTTTTCTCTTCTTTTTCTGCTTTATTTCCAGAAAGAAAAGCTGCAAAGTTACCTGTTAGAACTCCATTCTTCTCACCAGGCTCGCTCCAGCTGACTTTAAGAGAAGTATCCAGGATCTCTGTAAAGCTCAGGTGACCCACAGCACCGGGGGCTTGATAGAGAAAGTGCAAAATAATGAACACTGCTAACGGCAAATCATTTATTCCACTATTTACTTTTAAAAACAACCCATTTAGATTTTAAAGGTAACATCAAACTAAGCAACAGCAAACAGATGAGTTTTTTAAAGCCAAACTATTAAGGGAGTCATGTCCCAATTATAAAGATGCTGGATGGATGCAGAAAACAGTTATTCATTAGCATCCCTGCAACTAGCTTCTGCATGAATAATAGATCTTGCCCAAAGGATGTTGTTGCTGTGAGATGCATGATTCCTCTCGCCAGCATGGCAGAGTGAGATGAGCGTGGAGGAAAAAAGAAAAAAAAATGACTTACTGTCCTCATGAGTCTTCAGAGCCCTAGGTGGGCTGCGGGGGCCGTCTCCAGGTGTAGTGAAGCACAACACCGAGGTGAAATACTCGGTGAACTTCTTCAGGCCTGTCACGTATCCCACATGGACGCTGTCCTGGAAGTTAGGTCGTACTGTTACCATGGAAACGTCCTCTTCTTTGCCAGGTTCCCAGGCCAACAACTATTAAAAAAAAAATCAGGGGAAGGACAATAGAAGGGAAAATTACTCCGACGACCAGAGACTTTGGTATGTTTTTAGAAAAATGCCCCAATGAGGTTTGGACTTAAGGAGAAAGCAGGAATAGCTTGATTTGGCTCAAGAGAGATGTGGTACCACGTCTTGATGAAAGATTGCTGCACAAAGTACATGGACAAGTGGGAATTAGTTAGACCCATTAGCTACTGAAGTAATGAGTCCCAGTGGTCAATGCCTTTTTTTTGGGTGAGGAAACTTTTAATGAAGGAAGGAAATTGAGAGTTGGTGCTTATCCTTTCACCACCCTTGTGTCTGAAACGCAGTATTCCTCTGTGCCTCCTTAATCATTCCACCCTCCAAACTTTACTTAACCTTTAAAGCCCCAAGATAAACTTATTATTATTATTTTTTTTTTAATGGTCTAATACATAAAATGAATAAAAAAATGTAGCAATGCTGTGATAATTGTAAACAAAACAGCTTTTTACCATTTTATAAGGAACGTGTTAAACATTTTTAATCAACATATTTACAACACATTTTTACGGAAAAAAAATAGGGCCACTGGAAAAAAAAAAAAAAGTTAACTGATTTT